TATATATATAAACACAAAATTGGAGTATACATGGATAACAAAATTTAATCAAAAAAATTCGTGCCATTTTTGAAAATTTACTAGGGGCTTCGTGTAAAGAACCTCCACTGTCAAATTAAAGAAAGTTTCAGGGTCAAGCGGCCGCAACATCAACCAGGGATGAGGAAATATCGATTTTGGTGAACATTCTGCTTACGATTTATCCGGCAGCGTTGTAAAGTTGTAGACAAATCTCATCGTTTCCACGACAGACTGTGTCGCTCCGACAGGAATCCCACCCGCATGGGGCCATGTCCACTCACGCTAGTGCTAACAGCGGGGGAGGAGGAACGGTCCTTTTTGGAGACAAAGGCCAACCTCTTGACTTCCTCTGAAAGGGGGAAGGGCAGTTTTTTTCCTATGTACCCTTTCAACGTGGGTGGCTTGTGATTACCAGATGATAGTATCATAGAGGGCAGTCGAGGGCTGGAACGCGTCGAGTTTAGCCCGTTGACGCTAAGACAGCGAAGACGGCGGTCGCTGTCCTGCGGAGGCTCGAGCGAACACGGGGCCGGGCAATAAGAGTTTACCTGAGGAAAATTTGCAGTTTTTCCCGCAGCACTTCAATACTTTCTCTATATTGCGAAAACAGTAGCAGTAAAAACGTGTAAATGAAACATATCTAATTTTGGGTTCGTATTAATTTTAGAAAACTCGCCGCGGTGTCAAACATCTTATACGACGTTGCCACGGTACGAGATCTACTTGAATTTCATTGGTGTACATTTCACACCTAAAAAAGCTCTGCCTGCTCCCTATTAAAATTAAATGAGAAAAAAAATTATTATTATTATTATTATTATTATTATTATTATTATTATTATTATTATTATTAAATTAATTTTAATATCTACAGTAGGAATTCCTACATAAAAATGAAGAGTAAATATACACATCGCTTCGATTTATACATAAATCACTTCCAGTGAAATTCTCATTCTTAAAGAAGGTAATAATTATATAAAATGGTGAAAATAAACACCACCCTCTTCACTGAAAAAACAAGCCAACCCATAAACCTTAAGTCGACCATTTTTTTAGCTGACAACAGACCAACCACTTATTAAAACCAAGTTGCGTCAACAGTACAAACTATTTATAAAATCCCCTTATTCATAACAAATATTAACATCATACTTTCATAACAAAATTAAAATCTAACGGTACCAAGTGTTGAAATCTACAATTAAACTCACCCTCGGTGGTCTTCGACACCGTGACGTTTTTTGTGGCTCTGGCCACTTCCTTTGGAAGGTATATTATAACTATTGTGATCAAATTTTTGCCGCCGTTCTCCTTTAGAATTTCCATGGTGTGAGCTACTAGAGCCACTGAGAATTCCACAAGAAGTATTGCTGCCACTAACATTTCCATTATTGCTGCTACTCGTACTACTATTGCTGCTGCAATTACTGCTACTATTACTGGAAATGCTACTTGTGCTTGTACTAGACCCTGGAAAGAAATATAGTGGGTCTAGCATGATACAGAAAACAACAAAAATTGGGAAAGAAAAGTGAAAACCAATTACCTGAACAATTTGTTCCTGGGTTTGGAACACCCTGTTGCAGCGATGGCCATGCCTCCTTATTACAAGACTGACTGGCCTGCACTGTATTTGAATTGGAAATAGACACACAACATCCACTAGATGAACCAATTGTCATACAGTTCATTGAATTTAATGCTACTGCAGGTGGTGAAGGCGTAGGTTTCCTAAGACAAACATGAAAAAGTATTGAAATATTTTTCTTGTGTTATGATATAGAATGGACCTGCAAATATTATCCACAATATTTGAAACATTTCACAGAACTTGTATTAACATAATTCAAAATTAGAGGCTTGGGAAAAGTTATGACTCCTAGATCTTTTCAATAAATGTTTTTTATACATAGCTAGTTCTGTAATTCACATTACCTCTCTTTATTTCCTTGATTATAGCTGTTGAGTAGCTGCTCATGTAGTTTCCGTTCATATTCTTGGTGCTTCCCTTGTTGCATCTCTTCTTTCGTAAAACTTGCTTCAACATCCCCTGAGATGATAAAACCATCCAATATTAAACTTTGAAACATGATCATTAAGAACATGTACATAATAAAAAATTAAAAGTTTGTAATATCTCACAGGTATGGAAAAATTTCTTTCTAAAATAACAATAGAGTACACAAGATATTTGAAATTCATCATTAACTTTTGTTATTATGATTCAATGTTTTTGTGCATCTCAATGACTGAACATGATGAAAGGAGGGAGGATCAGGTTATTAGCCATTGCCTTACAAAACATGCAAGCCAATTAAAACAAATTTTAAGTGACGGCAGAATAGAGGCATGGAGTTTCGCTGTAGTGTACCAAATTAACAATTTCCCCAGTTTTGTTTCTTGAATTACTCTGCTGAATTCACCAGTTATGCAAGATTTACAATGTACAATTTTCTTAGAAACTTCCTCATTTATGAAAACTGCAAATTGTTTTTGGCAAATTTCAACCCATCTCTAACCTTTCCCACAGGATATATTCCTTGATTATAATTCGCTCTCCAATGAGAAAGCTTCTCTTGTTTACATATCCCTGAGATTATCATGCCTTGGTACATGTAATGAATCAATGTGACACTACATTAAAACCCTAACTCCATAGAGGGAACCTTCCAAGTTTTCTACCCCAGTAGACACACTTCAGGGTATGACACACACATCCAGTCTCAACCCTATCAGTACAACACACTACTTTTAGTCAGGTACTATTGATCTGCCCCCAACCCCTTCATTTAAGTCATGTGTAGAATGCAGAAAATACATTTTTTATATTATTTATGCAGTTGTCACAACAAGACTCTTTATGTCATAGTAATATGAAGACAATACTATTGATGAAACAAGAATGCACAAGTGTTGTCTTAATTTTTCTTGTAAGCTTCACTGATCAGTCTCAGGAACATCTTTATAATTAGTAATTTTCATTATATTAATTGTATTTTGATGCGGAGATTACCCCTTCAATTTGGGATGCCACTTACATATGAGATGTTCTTTCACCCTCTATTTGTGAATATCTACACCTACAAGGGAAGGAATTTCTCTATGACAGAATGCTGTGTGCAAATGGGTGTGTCATTATGGCAACCCTCCAAGACATCTTTAGATTGTGATTCACACAGCCTTTATCCCTTCACCTGCAATGAAATGCTACTGCACCCAGCCTAAATCCTGTTTTGAAGGGATAATAGTATTCAACAATTTAATTACATGAATAGATGAGCATTTAAAGAATGAATGAAGAAATCAAATCATAAATATGTGTTAAATGCAGATTTCCATTACTTAATTTCAATTTTTCCTTTTCTAATTTGACAGAAATATACATAAAGGATCCACACATAATTTGAAAAATGAAAAAAACAATTATTAGAGCAATTAACATTTCTATTTTACTATTCCATTAAATCCTTTTTGATTGATTCTTGCAGAATACTAGAAAAATATAGAACAGACAAAGATGGTGCTGTTTAATTATTTTAAATTTTCCCCTTATATCCATTTTAGTCCTTCCAATACAATATTCTAAATACTCGCACACCTAGATCATGAAGATACATGCAGTCCGGTTTTGGGCAGGTTTGATTTTTCATAAAGTGAGAACAGTACTTTGTAGTTCCAAGGGAAGTTTTAACTGTCCTTCCATCAACAACAATATTGTTGACTGCTTGAATAGCACGTAGGGCATCGTCAGCTTTATGATACGTAACATAAGCACTTGCACTAGGCCCCTGCAACAAAAGTTACAGATCAAACATAGGAAAACAGAAAACTAGATGCATATTACAAATTAAATTTCATTATTGCAACACCATACCCTTGCTAGAAGGGCATCAATGGCACATCAAGACATGCACACATCAAGAAGGCATAAACATGCAGGCATTTGAATTAACTAACAAGAATACAACATAATTAAAACACACTTTCTCTATTTTATTGGTCATCTATGCATTCTCTCAGTACTCATGCAACTTTAACATAAAAAATCAGTAGATGATAAGTTTCTGCATAAAGGCATAGAAAATTACATACATTTCAGAATATTCAGCTGATGCAAATTATGTACATATTCTTACAGAAATAGTATTAAAAGTACTTAACTAAAAAAGAGAAGAAAACAAATGAAAATTTAAGACAAATTGATTCAATCATTTGAGTTTGGAACTCACTGACCCACCAGAAAATATGTGGCATTGACTTTAATTTCATTATTAAAGACATTTTGCCAAGAAGATGTTCAGCATCGAATTGTTGTTTATGCTCTAGTAATAACCCAAGTGTATAGCATAAAAAAGTATTTTAAATTACTCAGATATTGTGTTTCTTTAAATGAACTACATTAAAAATTCCAGGAGTCCATTAATTCCACTACTGACTTTTGGTTTCTAAAACATACAACTAACAGAAAGATAAAATTGTTTTTAAAAATCATAAAACTAACTCCTTTGCATTAAAAACAGATCTATAACTTTTACTCAAAGATTTATACCTTGCCATTAATATTTAGTGGAGAAAAAGAGTAAAAGACACCATTAAAATCGGAAGTAATATAAAAAAACTTCAGTAACGTTTTGCATTTCACATGGATTTCAAATTCTCCTTTGCACAAATATCATATTTATAGGATTCTTTATACTAGTACTTCTTTCGGTATTTTAGGTAGGTATTGTCAATAAAGATACTGATGCAATCATTAATGCCCGTTACCAGAAAGATAAGTCAAATAATAATATCTCCTGAATGAAAAATTACGTCAAAAATTAGTTGTAAAATTAATAATTATCAGTTTATAACAGTTAATAAATAATACAAATTGTAAAATAAACAGGATAATAAGTAGAAGCAGATTTAATCATGATTCATACATAGGGTTGCTAAATGTTCAATAATGTCGCTTTGTAACATCAAGGCCATTAGCATCTTCTTAATTACAATAATTACACAATTAAAATAACATTAAAGGATTATCAAATTATGTAGTCCTCTGCACATAGTCTTGTTATTTAGTTTCCAGTTTTTAAAAAATGTAATGATTTTTCCCCTCCAGACATGCATTTAAACAGTCAATTAGGTTGCCCATTTGAGTGATCTGTTCACTATTTAGATTGGCTCACTATTTTAAAAATGAAAATTGAGAACATTCCTTAACAGATGAAATTATGTACTTTTTTAAGAGCGAATTAGTTCTGAGGATCATCATGGCTGTTTTTAATTACTGACTTTGCGCTGTTAGAAATCGTGACTACAAACCAGAGCATACAAAACATGTATGTACAAAGAGCCTACTTTAAACTAACAAAAATCAATGTATCCAAAGATTATTGTATTGTAGATGATGGCGATATTACTAATTATTAAAGTATTAAATACTACATTAAGTACTAAATTATTAAATATTTATAGTAAGCTTTTCTCCTCCCCGCCTCCCACATTTCCACTACTGACACATTGACAAACCAGCTAGCTTATGATCTTATAAATATTTGGGTGAAGTTTGAAAGATTTATGACGGAACTCTGAGTAAGTATTTACACATTCTTCATCAATAGTTTATTATTTAAAACATTTACAACTGGCTTATGGAAAATTAAACAAAACTTAAATGAACTATTATCAGACAAGTGAAAAACTAGGATCTATAAATAAAGACAAATACAAGACCTAACCATTGGAGGAAGACCATTGAGAAAAAACATAAGAAATTATACCATATTTACCCGAATATAAGACAGGTTTCTTTCTCTAAACATCTCTTATGAAAAAATACAAGGTCGCCTCATATTCACATATTATGTCTTAGCTGGTTGGGCTATGTTTTTCACTGACTTTTCACACCACAGAAACTTGAACACTGACATACGTAACCACACACTGTAAAGGCCATAAATGCTACTTGTATCTATAATAAACATTAAGTTTGCAGACATGAGAATTTGCAGTTGGCAGAAATTGAAAAGAAATAATCACCTTCATAGAGATACGAATCAAACCAAAGAGAAGGAATGATTAGAAAGTTCTCAGCAAAAATTCCTAAATGTTGGACACTTTTCTGCTCTCCCAAGACATCAACTGTATGAGTACAGTTCATAACTTGGTCATATGCATTTATTGTCAATTGTTGTATACAAAGCTGAATCTTGTACAAACAAGGGTGTGACACAAAGAACATTTGCAGTAGAAAGGAACTGCACTTAGATGGCATGAGATGAAAGACTAAGAATGCAAATTTAATTTGAAACTCTTTCAGGGGAGTCTTAAAAGTAAGGACGATTATACTTTTATGGGAGAAAGACCAGAAAAAAAATTTTACAGAATGTCAGGGTAGGAATGTTGAAACTTCGAAAATAAGCCCTTAAGACAATTTTAAGCATATTTTGTCTAATAAACTACTTGAATATTTCAAATGGCTAAGCCACTCAAAAGTTGGTTTAAAATATGCTTTCTTGACAAAAATTTGCATTGCAGAATGAAAAATTATGCTAGAAATAAAAAAAGCAGTCTAATTGTGTAAATTGGGTACCTTTTTATTTCTGTGTTAATTTTTTTTTCTGAACAAATATATTCATTTCTTTTATAAAAAATAAAGAATTTACATGTTTGGGGAGTGTTTTTATACTTCTGCTTTTTGCCTAGAAAACATTTTTTCAAATCAACTTTTGAGTGCTTATTGCCATTCAACCATTTGGAATATCCCAGTAGTTGTTTTTTTTTTTAGACAAAATATGCTTAAAATAGCCTTAATTTGCAAAGTTTTAGCATTTCGGCCCTGGACACCTGTATATGTAAAACCAAAGTTAGTATTGATTAAAACAATGATACTGACTGATAGCTCAAGCAAAAAGATATCTTCTCACCAACAAGACCATTTTCTAGTCAACAACAAAACTTGTGATTTTTCTGAGTTTGAATAATAAAAATAAAACAAAATTCTCATGTGGTCACTTCAAAATTAGACAGCTATCTTATAAACAGGTAAATACAGTAAGATTTAAAACTCACACAGCATCCACTTTCAACTGAGAAGAGCATTAAAAAAAGAGGTGTCTAACACATAAAAGGTGAAGCATTTAGAGGAAGATAATACCTATATTATCAATACATTTTGTTAAATTGTTCTTTGATTTTTTTTTTTTTTTTTTTTCATTTAACATTGAGAGAATCAATTTAAACTGTTTAATCCACACTAGGCATTTTTGCTATTTCATGTTTTAAATTCAAGTTATAAATTAAAAAAATAAGAAATAGAATGACTATGAAAAATTAAAACCCATCATAAGTCAACTATATCAAACCTAAAACAAATCATCAATGTAATTTTTTTTACATAAGAGTATTAAGACTCCCTTGGAAGCTTTCTCTTGAAGTTTTTGTAGACATACTATGGTGAATGTGAAAATAAATTTCCCCAGAGACCTTCACTGTAAGGTGGTAAAGACCACAAATTGAAATAAATATTTATAAACATTTTATGAATCATTCACTACAAACTAAAGTTGCATCTTACCAAATGTGTCTGGTAAAAATGGAGCAAGTTGGATTTATCCACGAGGACAATAAGTAATAAAATCCAATATCAACTTCAAAAATGTGAGCAGATTACACATATATTTGCCCACAAATCTGTATAAGGTAAGAACTTTATAATTATTTTAAACTAACTATTATACTAGCAAGTCTTCACTTGAAATACTTGGGTCCTGCTATTCCATTTTCACACACGAGCGTCTTTGCAAAGTAATGTGGTATTTCAAATAACATTATTGATTGGAAACTCTTAAGATTCATATTTTTCTCCCTCTTCAAAAACCCTTTAGAAACCAAAAATTCCGATGAAAAACTTGTACACCATTAAAGGTATAGATGTAATAGATAGATACACCAGATAACATACTAATAACATATACACATAAGGTATTCATGCAGCAGAAAAAAAATCTGGTATATTTGTGAAGGTGAATTAGAGTATATACGAAAATGTTGGATATAGTAAATTATCTTTCATATTCATTTTCTGCTTAGAAGTTTTGAAATTGATGGTATTATTACCAAAAGTGTAAAGTTAGTTTTAAAATAAATCTACACAGAAAATTGTGGCTTGTGAACCCGTAAGTGTTCATGTGGAAAATAACTGTTTAAGAATGAAGAATGTTTAGATAATGTAATTCCTATCATAAAATGCATTAAATCTGATATTTAAAATAATAATAATAATAATAATAATAATAATAATATCATTGAAATACCTCAGTCACCAACACCACCTTCAGAAATTAATACCTTTTTCACGCAATTCTGTAATTGTAATGTTGCAATGTACTATGTAGTAAAGCAATATTAGAGGATTAAAATAAAGACTAAATCAAATCACTTAAATATTTTGATTCTAAATCGAGGATATTAAGAAAAGTGATCCATATACAAATTAGTATGTTGTGTACTGAATTTTGTAACAATAATTATATTTTCAAGAAAAATAAAAATAAAAGTTCAATTCTCTTGTTTGATGAATTCCTAAAACAATCTACAATGGACAAAATAAATATGATGAGAAATAACATTCAATGAATGAAGGAAGGAAAGGTTTCACTCAATATGACCACAAATTTTCTGTGTATCAGTGAGAAGTTTCTACTGACTTAATTAAATAATTTTATATAATTATTAAAAATGTTCAATCCCAATTATAGGATCCATAAACAGTATACAGCGAAAAATATCACAAAAAATCTTGTCAGTCATTAACACTTAATATAAAACATACAACATATCATGCAACATAACATTCATAATATAAAATATAACTAAAGTAACCTAGCCCAATAAAATACTGTGTCCAAGTTGTGTCAAATAATACTTTATCAATATCCACCCCCACCCATAACATTCACCATGTAAAATATACTGCACTTCTAGCATTCTCTTGCACAACAAATTTAGGATATTTTTTACATTCCTACCACTTCTCTGAACAACAACCTTTCACCCTCCCTCACTGACAGTAAAGAAGCAACTGACTCCAATCAACATGTCAAATAGCTTCTAGGCTTCCAATGGCATGCTAGCACAGAAAGCCGTCTAACAATCTCATACTGTTACAACTGTAGCAAACATTGCCCTATTTGGATAGGGAAGTTTCTACACATTTTGGTGCATTGTATAAAATGAAGTATTAATGATTTTAACAGTTGTTACTTAGTGTAGCATCACTTGTTATGAATATCAGCTGTATTCTCTTGTGCCGTCATAACAATGAGTGGTTTCTAAAGAGAAATTTTTTGAGTGTTCATCACATAGGAGATGACAAGCACCAGCTGACACTCTCAAGCAGTTGAGTTTACATCCTGTGCAATGAAAATAACCTGCTGTGTTGCATCAGGTCAGCTTTCTTCCTGCACACAAACTAACGGTCCTGGGGCGAGATGTCTTCCAGTCTGCAAGGTAACAAAGATATAGACACATTCTTGAAGCAAGATTCTATGTATGAATTCTTGTGACATCAAATTTATTATCAGAACAACACTGAGTTCTCAAATTCGCAAAGTTATTCTCCATTATAACACATTTTGACGTGACTTCAGATTTAGGTTGTCTTATGAAAGTGGTCAGGTTGTTTAATCCTAATAACAAACACAGATAAGGAACAATTATAGAACAGCCAAAGATACCAAAAATTTGCCTGTGTATGATTAGAAAAATACTCTTTGCAAAACATTACACAGTTTTACTGGTAAATGTTAAATCTTTCCTCTAGAAACAAAGTAACTTCCTATAAAAGAAATTGAAGAGTTGACAGGATAAGAATTCTATCACAGATGAAATTAAACATGTTTGATAATAGTGTTTGTGTAGAACTTTAAATCACAAAAAATTTTAACTCACAATTTGGAACCTGACTTACTTACTTCTACCTTCTAATGATTTTTAATTTTGATGTTTCACTGCAACAATGACTCGATATGCACCGAAACACACACTTTTTCCGTAATAGAAGGCACTAATTGGTAAGAAGAAGAAAAAAATTTCTGAAGATAACTGAACATCTTAAATCATCCCAACAATGTACCAGTATTGTGTCCATTGACATGTTAAAACAAAATGTATAATTATTGGAACAAGGGATCCTCAAATGTTGGACACTTGTAATTTAAAATGTGTAAATATCTAAGAAGTGAAGCATATCTGCTTACCAACACAGCTGAAAATTATTAACAGTAATTTAACGAAAAGTAATTGGTGCAGGGACCAAACTAAAAAACATCTAGGACAACTAGGAAAAAGGCTTCATAACATTCCAGATAAAATTCTTTATGAAATCACCAACAGCATTGAGTTACGAACTTAAACTAAGGAGACCCTGAATAGGCACATATCCTGAATGAAAGTGTCGACCTTCGCAAGTTGACCATTTTAGGGTTAACAAAATAAGTAACTTGCATTTGCAACATGTATGTGTGCACGCATGCATGTGCACGTACGTGCGTGCGTGTGTGCACGCATGCATGTGC